AATTAAACTTAACTTAGCTTTCAAGTGTTTCTTAAAAACAACATTCCAAAAAGAATGAGCAGGTCATGGTTAGAAATTACATAAAATCGCCGGGCGCGGTGCCTCACGCCTGTAATCCCAGCACTTTGGGAGGCCGAGGAGGGCAGATCACAAAGTCAGGAGATCGAGACCACCCTGGCTAACACGGTGAAACCCCGTGTCTACTAAAAATACAAAAATTAGCTGGGCGCAGTGGGGCGCCTGTAGTCCCAGCTACTCGGGAGGCTGAGGCAGGAGAATGGCGTAAACCTGGGAGGCGGAGCTTGCAGTGAGTGGAGATCACGCCACTGCACTCCAGCCTGGGCCACAGAGCAAGACTCCGTCTCAAAAACAAAAAGAAATTATATAAAATCAAGGAGACAGTCACTATGAGTGAGAAACCATAGATGGTAGGCAAAAAGAGATTCACAACGACCTCTGATACTGGAAATGACAAAAATATAAGAGTGTTTTATACATTTAAAGAAATGAGAAACTTGAAAGTCTGAACAGGGAACAAGAAATATAGCCCAAGGATATTTGAATAAGAAAGGAAAAATATAATTGAAATTTACATACGTGAATACAACATTCCAGAAAGATCTAATAGAATGAGGGAGAGATGCTATTCAAAGAAGAAAATGGAGGAGAATTTTCCAAATTGTTCGAAAGACACCAATCCTCAGATTAAGCCCAACAAACTTCAGACATTAATATTTATGGACATAGATGTGGATATAGATAACAAGACAAGTCGGTGTCAAAACAATGGAAGAGGGCAGTATCCCCTACAGAGGAATGGCTATTAGATGAGTAATGAAATTCTTAACATAAGCAATGGAAACCAGAGACAGTAAAATAAATTCAAAGTATTGATTAAATAACCAAGAATTGTATGCCAAGTAAAACATGGGAAAGTGCCAAGCAAATTTGAGAGTTTACCACCAAATGACCCTCACTAAATGAATTCTGAAGGATATGATTCAAACCGAAGGAAAATGATCTCAGATGCATGGGCTGAGTTTTAAGGAGAGACAGTGAGCTAAGATAATTATGTGACAATCTAAACAAACCACTGATGATGAAACAAAGATAATTTGCAGGGAGAATAAAGCAGACTAGATTTAAAATGCCAAGTTGCAGTCACATGTAAGTTGGAAGGGGGAATGCAAGGCCCATGTATTGTCCAGGAGAACACTATGGCTATTGAGTCCCTTTAACTTGTTAATATGTATGAAATAAGGCAAACACCAATAGACGAGATCAGTGTATACCTTCAGTGGAAGTAGAGAGAGAAGAGTCCAAATGAAGGAAGAGAGGGGAAAGGAGCAAGTAAAATGGAGCAGATCAAATGTTCAAAATGTGATTTGTCAATAAAACCAAATCACTAATCACAGTAAGCATAAGTGGACTAAAGTCTCCAGTTAAGGTTTTGTTATAGTTTAGAAACAAACAAAATTCAGCTATGTGCTTATTACAACAGAAACACCTAAAGCACAGAAAGATTAAAAGTCAAACAGTGGAAAAGATAGACCAGGAAAATACCCAAAGCAGGCAAGTACAGTCATATTAATATCAAAGGAGAATTCAAGTAACAAGTATTACTCAAAATAAGGAAATTTCCTACATAATGATAATTCCATTTACTGGGAAAAGGTACTGATTCTAAATTTATGTATATATGTATATGAATTATGCATAGCCTCATGATATACAAGGCCAGACTGACAGAATTAAAAGGAGAAATTTTAAATCTATCATCATAGTAGATTTTAACGCATTTCTCAGTTATTAGTAGATGAAACAGACAAAATCAGAAAGTGGAAAATGCGAACAGTAAAACTACGGAGCTTGAATTAATGGGCGTTTATGGCATCTGCCTTTTGGAAAAGACACACTTCTTTCAAGCACACGTGGAACAGTTGCTGGGATTGACACACCCCAAACATAAGGCTCAACCAATACACTTCAAAGGATTGAAATCCGCCCGACCACTTTTCTTACTGCAATGCAATTAAGTTGGAAAACAAAGCATGTAACATAATTAGAAAAGTTCACTCACTTGGAAATTTAATAACACAACAATATATGGGTCAAAGGAGAAATCATAATTGAAATTAAAAATTTCACCATCTAGTTTTTTACATCAAACACATGGGATACAATACTTGGAAGGAAACATAGAGCATTAAGTGCTTGCCTTAAAAACAAAAATGAGAAGACTCAAAATGGAGCTAAGATCGAATTGAATCAAAGACCCACAGAAGTAGAAGGAAGGAAATTAAAAGGACAGAAATTAATGAAATAGAGAAACACACAAAAGAGATTAAGAAGATAAAACACAAAAACTATGTATTGGAAAAAGCATGGTTCATTTTTTTTAAAAACACACAAATGGAAAGAAAACAAGAACATAACTGCAGATGCTACAGAGAAATATAAGAGGGAATAAGAACTGCTGTCAACACACTTTAGAACTTTAATATAGTGGATGACTTCCTAGAAAGACAGAACTTAGCAAAACCAACTCAAAGAGAAACACAAAATCAGAATCATCCTTTACCTGTAAAAGAAATACAACCAACAGTCAAAATTTTTCTCATAAAGAAACCAAGTCAAAATGGCTCAATCTGAATGCTACTAAATATTCAAGAAACAACATTTTCATTCTCACCATTCCTACACAGAGAGAAGAAAACAAAACACTCTCAATTCATTTTATGAGGCCAATATAACTTTGATACCCAAACTGCAAGAACACAAGCAGAAAGAGAACTACAGGCCAATTCAATCTCACTTTATGAACATGCATGCAAAAATTCTGAACAGATATTACCAAACCAGATCCAGCAATGAATAATAAAAGTGATACATCATGATCAGGTTGGGTTTATTCCAGCAAGTTGACTACTATTAGAATTGTTATTAATAAAATTCACCGTAGTAACAGATTTAAAAGTAACTTAATAAAGAAAAAAATAGAATTAAACATCCATATAATGTATGACATTAAAAAGGTCTTAGCATATTTTTAGAAGGACATTTTTTTTTAACTTGTAAAAGGACATCTACAAAAAAAAAAAATCTAGCAAGTATAGTTAAGGAGGAACATAGAAAGCAGTCCCTTTAAGATAAGGAATGAAGCAAAGATGTCCTCCATCACCCCCTTTACTCCTCTTTAAGATTGCGTTGGGATTTGAGCCAGCTCAGCACCTCAGTATAGTCAAGGAAAAGAAACAAAATGTTAAGGGTGGGAATGTAAAATGCCCCACTGCTTTAGAAAACAGCATAGAGGGTTCCTCAATTTTTTTTTCTTTTTCTTTTTTTTTTTTTTTTTTTTTTGACGGAGTCTCACTCTGTTGCCCAGGCTGGAGTGCAGTGGTGCAATCACAGCTCACCGCAACCTCTGCCTCCTGGGTTCAAGCGATTCTCCTGCCTCAGCCTCCCTAGTAGCTGGGATTACAGGTGCCCGCCACCATGCCCAGCTAATTTTTGTATTTTAGTCCACTTCAGCCTCCCAAATTGCTGGGATTACAGGTGTGAGCTACTGTGCCTGGCCTGGTTCCTCAAAAAAGTAAACAGAATGAATATGTGATCCAGCAATTCCAAAGATAATTGAAAGCAGGGACACAAAAAGATACTTGCACACTCGCGTTCATAGCAGCATTATTCACAACAGCCAAGAGACAGAAGCAGTCCAAGTATCTATCGATGGTTGAATGGATAAGCGAAAGTGGTCTATCCATACAATGGAATATTATTCTTCCTTAAAAAGGAAGGAAATTCTGACACATGCTGCAACATGGATGAAACTTGAGGTCATTACGCTAAGTGAAATAAGTCAGACACAAAAAGACAAATACGTATTACACTACTTATATGAAGTACCTAGAGTGGACATTCAGAGACAGAAAGTAGAATGGGGGTTGCCAGGGTGTTGGGGGTAGGAATGGGGAGTTAGTGTTTAAAGGATACAGGATCAGTATGGAAAAATGAAAAAGTTCCAGAGATGAATGGATGGTGGTGATGGTTGCATAACGATGTGAATATACTTAACCACTGAATTGTACACCCGAAAATGCTTAAAAGGGTAACTTTTATGTGTATTTTACTACAGTTTTAATTTGTATGGCTCCCCAAGGAAGAAAAGAATGGGCTCTGTTTATGATTGTCCGTAAACACCGCTGCTCTGAATCCAGTGCTTCCTACTGGGCCTAGGGTTATTGATTACATAGGGTTTCTGAATGGGGGTGTGTTTCAGAGGCTATATCTACAAAATTTCATGTAATTTTTCTGAGGAGAAGAGCAAAAAGCTTTCATCAGACTGTCAGAGGAGTCTGTGCCACACAAAGGTCTAAGACTCATTCTGAGTTGCCCACCTCATGCTGTTAACCTCCTCCCCCACCTCACCCCCTGCAGTTCTGCATAGTCTGGAACCAGACCCCCTCCTATCAGCAAAGGTTCAGATTCTGCACTCACTTCCCCGTCTTCTTATCCTCCCTCTCCTCACGCAGATACTACCTTTTCTTTCATTCACTCAGGTTGTTTACAATGCAAAGAATATTCTTAAATATGTCTTAAATTCATGGAACAAAGTTTTATTTTTTAGATAACTGTGGCTCTGAAATCAACCAATTTTCAGGTTTTTTTTCTATTGCCCTTCATTTCCTGGATGGTAATATTAAACAGGTCCAGCTCTAGCTCCGCACCAGAAAGGTTCTCTGTCAAATGGTTGGAATCCTCCACGTTCTGTAACCACAGATCATTTTTAACTAGCTTTTCTTGCTAATCGTATGTCTTGCATTTCATGTAGACTGTGTTTTAACAAACTGAAGACCTTTCGCTCAGTCCCGTGGTCTGCCTGGGTGGCGGTGAGGAATCTCAGGGTGATAACGGAGAGGTGCCTCTCAGATGCACCTTCAAAATATCAAGGGAACGAGAAATGTCACCAGCTTAATTTGCACCCAAATGACTTCTGAGACTTTTCTTTTTAACAAAATGCTTTATTTCTATTTTTAAATGAGATGCATTGTTAGGCATTCCCATGAAATATCAAAAGGCATTTACATGTGTTGTTTTAACTCTTCTTTTTTGATCACACAAAGTAGGTAGAAAAGATCTGCTGAACTAGAACAAATCAGAAACCAAGTAGTGTAAGGCATTAGGAGATACATGAAGAGAACCGCTATTTGCTTCTTGTACAGCGTGTGGCAACTCGTGGTTAGTAGTCGTCGTAGTTGACGCTGGCTCCGTGCCTAAAGCTGTAGGGGCTCCGGGCACCAATTGCAGAGTCTTCATCATAGTGACGTTGGTAGTAATCGCCATAGTACTCATGTCCATTTCGATCTCTGTTAAGCCAATAGGTGATGTCATCTTCAAATTTCTGGAGGAAAAGAGAGAGAATGATAGAGAACGGATTTAAGGGCACACAGTCCCCTAAGACCTAATCTTACCTATGGGCTTTCTCCATGGTTTTTCTTCAGTGATTAACAACCCTTAGTAACTCCCTGTTATCGTATTCTTGTGCTCAGAGGCCAACACGGTCAGCAGTATTCACTCTGATAAAAGCTATCTTTTTCCAAAGGAATGCAGGCCCCATACCTTTGCAAACTTTTATAAAATATATGTTAAATATACTCCAGACTTAAACTGTACATCAAATGGACAGTTGCCCAAATGCAGTAACAACTTGGCCTGACCCTTAGGCCACATCTTATTGCGGCAAACACTGTCTTACCTTCCTACCCCATTCCTGTGCCTGGCCCTTTATATTGCATGTAGTAGATGCTTAATAAATGTTGCCTGAGTTAGATCAACCACTGCACTGGCCTATTATAGTGCTAGGGCAGAGAACTGGGGGTACATCTGATGGTGACTCTTATACCTGTGTTGTTGGTTAGAGTGTAGGCAGATGCACTTATTTATTCTGCAAACGCTTTGAGATGGGCACTGTGTGTCATGGCCTGTGCTGGACACTGGAAGGCTGCCAGAAACAGAGTCTCTGCCTTCAAGAAACCTACTGTTCCTGAGTGACAGATACGAGAAGAGACAGTTACAGATAATAAAAGGGATAGAGAAGCTAAAGCTGAGTAAGAAGTGTAGAATGATGCTCAGGTTTTTGGTTTGGGCAACTGATCTTGGCTATTAATACACTTTTTTTAAAGAAGAAGATACTAATTTTTCTTTGGTGGTGGTGAAGGTGCAAGATTAATTTAGACTAGGACTCGTATGTTGATGCTCAGGATGTGGCAAGAGATTTAGTGTGAGAGCAAAAAGGCAGGGAGATGACAGATGGGCGGGTGAACGGGTCATGCTATTGGGGTGCAGGGCCAGTTTTTCTCCAAGCATGGCCCATGCACCCCTGCATCCAAATCACAAATGCAGGTTCTCAGGCACCAGCTACTCCATGCCTCCTGCATGGAACTTTCTGATGTTTGGGTCTCAGCAACTTGTTTTTATTTTAACAAGACTGCCAATGAACATTCATTAATATTTGAGAACTTTGTGAGGCTGGACTCCCCAAGCTAGCCCATGACTGTGGTCTCTGGGTCTCAGTGGTCATCCACTCTCGGTGGGTAGTGGGCCAGCTAGTGTTAGGCTAAAGAGCATGATTCCAGTTTCTCACTGCCATTCTCTATAGCTGGGGTCTGAATCATCTGAGCCCACCTCAGCCTCTGCCTTGGGAAGGAGGACACCGACTTCTTTGGCTCCATCTCTAATTTTGCTTCTCCCATAATACAACATTCTTGGCCACGGTGAAACAATCTTGCTTCTTGGGTTTTCCCATTTTATTTTATTTCTGTATTTATTTTTTTTAAGAGGGAGTTTCACTCTTTCACCCAGGCTGGAGTGAAGTGGCGCGATCTCGGCTCACTGCAACCTCCGCCTGCCGCCATGTGTGAATGTGAAGTAAGTTCATACCACCCTGTGTGAGACGTAGAGGGAGGACTTGTGGCCTGTGCAGCCCCACCAGGGAGCAGATGGGCTTTTCATGGGCAGGACCTCCAACTGGGCATTTGGAAGTGTTTTTCACAATGCGCATGTGATTCATTTAGACGGTGTATACACAATACTACAGTAGGTGAAGAAAAAACTAAACCCCTTAGACAGATCATTTTTAATGGCTACATAAAATGAAATCATGTGGCTATACCATAATGTCCTTCACATTTCCAACCATTGGACACATTACTTGTTTCCCAAGTGTCTTTTTGCCTTTTTTTCTTTTTCTGTGCAAATAGCTGAACACGTATAGCCAAACTGAGCCGAGCATGATTCTAAGTACTTAGAGGTATGAACTTACTTCACATTCACAACAACCCAAAAGGCAGGTGCTGTTATTTACATCTCTGTGCAGTTTGCCCTTTACTTAGACCACATTCTTCCCAGTGAGGTTCCTGGGGCAAGGGTGGAATCGCGTTTAAGTATCTCTGAGTATTGTCAAATCGCGCATTCCTGTGAGTCACATGTAAGAGCAACAGTTTTCTGGAATCTTCAGCAGCATCTGGTGTTCTCATTGAAAACTAAAATTACATGTTTACTTGTTTGATAGACAAAAATGCTATCTCTTCTTTCAGTAATTTGCATTTCTTTGATGACCATTATTAAAACGGGCATTGGGAGTTTAACATGCAGGTACGGGTGCGGTGGCTCACGCCTGTAATCCCAGCACTTTGGGAGACCGAGATGGGTGGATCACCTGAGGTCAGTCACCGTGGACGGACATCCATGTGGCCACATCTATGACTTCCATGGGCTGCCGTCTCACCGGCACAGGCACCCCAGCTGGGAGCCTAAGATTATAAACCTTTTGTCTTTCATTCAATGAATGCGTCCACCAGTGCCATCTAGGCGCATGAACTGTAAAACATCTTTTCCTATAAGTGCATTGACAAATTTTCCCCAAAACCTCTACAAAGACCCATCCTTTCTTTACAGGTTCTTTTTCATCTCTTGTCATTATCATCATAGATCCTGGCATCCCTGTTGTTTCTGACAGTCTTCGAGGTAAAAGTGAAAAGATTTTGGGGGATTGTGAGTTATTTTAAGGATACCCTGGCAAAACTGTTCAGCCAAGTTAAAAGGGTTGCCCAGAAAGTCAGATTCTCGATGAATCTAGGTCCCCGCTGTTTTGGTTCATGACTGCCCTGGGTTCTGCCTCCTGAATGTGCCCTGGTGGAAACTTCCAGCCATTGACCTTACACCATAGGTAACGTGATCCAGTGCCTGATAACTCTTGGCATATGATGGGGCCCTTACTTTAGGAACGAACAGCAAAGCTGAATTTTCTGCTTCCTATTTCCCCGAGCCACGCCTCCTCCCTGCCACCCTGCCCTGTGGAAGCCAGGCCTGCAGCCAGAGGCAACACCCACCGCTTCGTCAAAGCCCATGTAGAGAAACTGCTGGTACCACTGCTGCACCTCGGGCCGGGTCCGGTCCCACAGCTGCCGCTTCTGGCGCTTCAGGCTGCCGAGGAATTCTTTGGCTTTGTTCTCATCAACGGCCACTTTGATCTTAGTTGGAACAGGTGCTGAAATCATCAATTCCCCATCCCCAAAGCACAAAGAATGATTTCCTTCCTCACTGGCGGTGAATCCCTGTTATACGTTCCATCCCCACCACCATGCATAGGAAGATTTTAACTCTCAACTTCATTCTTACTTGCATGTGGCAATGTGACACAGCCTCACAGCATCCATCACCATGCTTCCTGTTGGTAAGTTCTATTTGGTACAGCCATATAAAGAGGTATGGACTAAACTTCAACCTCTGTGTCCTCAGGGTAGAAATGAAATTCAGCTCATCAGTCAAGAAACAGACTGGATGTCTAGTGCCACACAGGTATACGGGCACATCCATTGCATTTGCAAACACAAGAAGGTTGTGCTTGGCTCAGGAGATTATGTAAGAGAAAGGAACTGGAATGACGAGCCCTGAGTGAGCAGGGACCAGACCCTGCCCAACAGTAGAGCTGATTCTCACACCAGGCTGCTGAGACACAGAATTCCCTTAAGCCAATGCGTCTCTGCGCCTCACAGTCTGACCATTGATGCAGGATACTGACCCGCACCCTCATACTGCTGCTCCTAACGCTTTTCCATCACAGTCTCAATTGCTGAAACGGAACCACTTCTGCAGGTTGTGCTCGAGGAAGCCACTGTGCCATTAGGCATTCTGCCCCTGCTGTCACGTTCTCAGCCCCTGTCCCCTTATCTATAAAAGTGGATGGACAGTCCCTCTCAAAGACGTTAGGAAAAATGCACAGGATCATGCAAATGCAGGGTTGATGCGTTTGTTGGTCATATGGATAAATATCAGCAGGGATTTTTGTTTGTTTGCAGTCCCTTCAGGGACTGTTACACTGTTTTGTATACAGTAGGTGCTCAATATGTGTTTCTTGGTTTGAACCGAGACAAGGCTGCGGGATGCACACCCAGGAGTTGTGACTGCCTCAGCAACTTGCTCGCCTATAACAAGCTGGTTCTGTGAGGGCGTTGTTCATCCCTGGACATCGGTGAGGTGAGGCTCTCAGCACCACACAGCACAGGGAGGGGACACTCTGAGCCGCCTCAGAGACTGGGGGTGGGCCAGGGCTTCATGGGTGGCTGGAAACCCAGGGAAAGATGCTGGGAACGCCCCCAAGGAAATCCTTGCCTGCAAGAGTGGCCGCCTGTTCTCCAGCCACCTGTGGGAGGGTCCCTGAGCAGCAACTAGGGGGTGTGGGAAGAACGACTGAGGACCCCACTTCAGGCAGGAAGTTCAGCCTGCTAGAATCCCCCGTAAACTAGGAGGGAAAGAATAAGTGACTAAATGGTCACATCAGAAGTGTGGTCACACTTTCTCATTTCTAAGGGATTCTGAATTTTACAGATAGAGATGAAAGTTGGGAGAGGGAAAATGACATTCACAAGACCCCACAGTTGATTCACCTGATCTGATTACAGCAGGTCCAGAACCCGTGTGTTGTGACCCCCAGACTGTTCAATTTCTATGACATTTTGCCACTGTCACATTTATCTTAGATGCATTTTTCAAAACAGAGGCTAATAACAAGAAACGCTTTCTTGTTTGAAACCCTTCCCCATGAGCTCATGGGAGACACGGACTACTGCAACAGTGCTGTTCCACGCCTGCCCCACCAGCTGAGGATTATGTGCTCCAAAGATAATCTCTGAAATGCTTCATGGTCCTAAAATAAATAGCATGCAATTAACTGTACCACTGTTTCTTTTAGAGTCCACACTGACAGGTTTCAGAAAAATAACCTTCAGACATTTACTGGCAATATTTATCTAATAAAATACCATAGCACATACCCACAGAATAAGCCCTTCATATATGCTAACCTTTTAAGGAGTAAACACTTTTGATTTTCCAAATACAAGACTCCAGTGAGCACATTCCATATTGCCACTTCATTTCCATCCAGTTAAGAATGCATCCCTTATCCATTTGGGGGATATTTACCTTCTCGTTTTTGAAGCATCAGCTTGAGTTTATTTCCATTTATGCCACCTAAAGGAATGAAAATTGAAATCCATATCAGAGTGGCACTGCTCCCTTCAATTTATCAAAGGCAGAAATCAGAGTGGGAAAAAAGAACTGCGGACCCCTGGCTTGATTTGACAAGTTGGTAACATCACAGTATTTAATGCTTGTTGTATTCCCTGTCCTGCAGGACAAACAGTTCAGGCTGCCCATGGCTAATACTGGTGATAATGACCACAGCAGACCAAGGGCATTACGATTTGTGCTAGTCAGAGTGACGCGGTTCTTTTAGCCCTGTGTCTTACTATAAGGGGCAGCCATCTGTCATGCTTATCTTCCTGCAAACTTTCGCTTCATGGTGTAATACGTTGAATAGTGTCCTCCTGAAACTCCGATCCACCAGGAACCCCTGAATGTGAGCTTATTTGGAAATGGGATCTTTTCAGATATAATCCATTAAGGATCTCAAGATTTTTCATTTAAAAAATTTTTTTTCTTTTTTCTTTTTTTTTTTTTTTTTCCAGCCTGACCCATCACTGAGAGGGTCTCAAGATGTTATCGTATGGGATTTAGAGGGATAGAGATCCAGTGGCTGGTGTTTGTGTAAGAAGAAGACAGAATCCAGAGAGGTCACCCGTGTGAAGACAGAGGCAGGCAGAAATGGGAGTCAGGCTCCCACACTTTGGGGAACTTGCCTTCACTCTCTAAAAGTGCAGCCGGGTTTTGTATCTTGCCCAGATCATCCTAAAATCAGGCATGATTTGTACCACTTGCTGTTATTTGTATTCACTTTTAAAAGTGTAAAAGTGTTTCTGATCAGCTCAATAATTTTTAATAGAAAATACCTTGTCTGGCCTGATAGAACACATGCTTCCACCCAGCGCACTGGCTTGCGGACCTATAGAAGCCTCTGACCCTTAACTGTTGCATGCAGACATGCTGACATCGTAAGTAGTGAGTAGTGCATCTTCGGGTGTAAGGAACTGGAGTCAGGCCCCAGGATGGAGGTAATCGTGACCACTCTCTCAGCAGGGTTCTTAGCCTCTCCTTCCATGGACAGGCTCCAGGGGGTCTGGAAAGGCATGTAAAATTGTGTTTGCATCTGCAAAGGCAAATTTTCTGGGAATAGGAACCATAGCTTTTGCCAGACTCTCAAAAATGTCTGTGACCCAAATAAAATTAAGAAGCCCTGCTTTGTTTGTGAATCAATAAATAAATTGATCAGTAAAGCTGGGGGAAAAAATAAATGTTTTAAAAGAGAACCTCTGCCTCAAGAATTTACTATGGAGTTGGGGAGAAAAATATATCCATAGCCACGAGTTACAAGCTGGCTGCCCTACCTGAGGATGCATTTTATTAGCATACCCAGTGTTTACAAATTTTGAATTCGAATGCCTCTCAGCCCAAGTCACTTAGCACACCCATGGTCCGTAAGCAGCCACCTAACCTACTAACCTCCTGCAGCATTTGAATTAAAGTGCTACCTAGCTGCCTTCAGAGTCATTGGGCCATCCAGGGAGCCTGCTGGCCTGCCCTCTGGGATGGGACAGGGAACTTGCTAGAACTTATTAAGTCTATTTCCTTGCTAAGTGCCTCCCTCGTAATTCACGGGTAGGGTGGCCACACTTTCTGGCTGTCCAGGGACAGCCCTGGTATATACCTCTTGTCCTTGTAAATTAATGATAGTGCCTCCTTTTGCTCTCAAAAGTGTTTTAGCTTGGATGATAAATTACATGGCCACCCAATTTTTCGAGGTTTAATGGCATGGAAATGGCTTCATAAGATCTCTAGGGACCACACTGAAGGGCCAGGGAAGAGAGGTGGTGATTTCCCTCGCACCTTCCCTATGAGAGCTGGGAGTCTGCTGGGTGACGAGCTAAGATATCAGCGCAGTGCACAGCAGCCTGTGGGAGAGCTGCAGTGGTTTTTGCTGTCTGTGCTCAGGTCGGTCTACAGTGATGTAGTTGTTTAAAAAGCCATTGCAATCTTAGGCTGTTCAATAAAGGATACTTAAAAAAAGAAAGTAGCTGTCCTGTCTCCGTTCCATCACAGCTCTGAGCAGACCTCCCCTCTACTATTTAGTTCAGTTCACATCATCTCACTTGAAGAAGGTCGCAGAAAAACTGGAGTTGTGGTCAAAGGAAAGTGTCCAGAGAGGACTAGGGCCCAAGCACATGTTATATGAGAAGAAATTAAAGGAATTTAGGTGTTTAACCTAGAGAAATAAAACTTGTGGGGCTGAGTGTGGTGACTTGCACCTGTAACCCCAGCATTTTGGGAGACCACGGCAGGCACATCACCTGAGGTCAGGAGTTTGAGACCAGCCTGGTCAACTTAGTGAAACCCCGTCTCTACTAAAAATACCAAAAATTAGCCGAGTGTGGTGGTGCATGCCTGTAGTCCCAGCTACTCGGGAGGCTGAGGCAGGAGAATCGCTTGAACCTGGGAGACAGAAGTTGCAGTGAACCAGGCATCACTTCGCTCCATCCTGGGTGACAGAGTAAGACTCCATCTCAGAGGAAAGAAAGAAAGAGAGAGAGAGAGAGAGAAAGAAAAGGAAGGAAGGAAGGAAGGAAGGAAGGAAGGAAGGAAGGAAGGAAGGAAGGAAGGAAGGAAACAAACAAACTTGTGGGAGTAGAGCAATGGCTTTGAGGGGCCACTGGGCCATAGGTTAGAGCATGAAGGTTTCTAACACCCTGACAGACAGCCACCCAAGATGGGACGAATGGCCCTGGGGGGTTTGAGATTAAGAGTTGCTGGAGGCATCTGAACATAAATAAACAAAGATGAGCACTTGACCAGGCTACTGTAGAGGGGATTTTCTAATTAGATGGGGGTGGGACTACTGTTAAATGTTCTACTTCTCTTCCAAGCTTATATTCAATGAAGAAATCTATGAAAATATTTGCCAAGGGAGACAGATACGATCCTTGGCACTAATAATAGCATTCATTAATGTCTTAACATTTGTCAATCTCTAACAGCTCACAGGGTAGTGCATACAGAATTAAGTATGGCCCCTCCATCTGTTTGCCTTCTGTAAAAGTGCTTAACAATTAATGAATGAAATGTGGTCTGATGTTGAAATAGACATTGGGTTTAGGCATTTGCGATGAGGCTGCAATTTCTTGCAGCAAATGTATATCACTATTACTCCAGAAACGACAGCCTTGCCAAACCTTAGCTATAGACTGAAAAGCACAAATAAGTCCCAAATTATGAATTATGAATGTCGCTACTGTGCCAGGTACTACACACCGAACTCCATATCAGTACATATAATTGGACACTACACTAAAGTTGTTTGAGGAAAAGAATAAGGAACAATAGAACAGCTGTGATTTTTTTCTGTATTATGGATTTTTCACCCAATATCATCAGTTGTTCATTCTAGGCTGCAATAATAAGCACTCCTGAATTTATCCAATCCAGTTGCCTAGTATTAGCTCTCCCAGCAAATTCAGAGCTGCAAAATGCTCGTTTGAAGGTGCTTAGTATTAACAAATTGATCAAGAAAGGGCCACTGTCATTTTCTTTATTAAATGTTTGTGAGTGAGGAAGGGCGTGATGGTTCAAGCCTATAATCCTAGCACTTTGGGAAGCCGAGGCAGAAGCATCACTTGAGCCCAGGAGTTCGAGACCAACCTGGGCTACATAGTGAGACTCATCTCTACTAAAAATTAAAA